AAGTGGACAAACATTTGGTGTGCATACCGACATGTCAAAAAGACAGGATGGCAGGCAGACATGATTGTTCAGTTATGTAGATTAATTCAAGGTTCTTTTAAACACACACACACATCTGGCCCTTCCTTTCCAATGATAGATACAGGAAAAGAAGGTGCTCATATATGAAATGTAATCATGTCTCTTTTCTAAGAGCTCAATACCCTGAAAAGGTGATGTAATCCAAACAAAAAGAAAATAAGAGGTAAAAGAAGAGGCGGAGAACCAGTCATGGGTTTCCTAAAACCATCCCACTCATTATTCTGTAAACAATTAAATATATACTCAGAAATGATGAGTTTAGAATTAGAGCACCTATTTACTGAATTATATTCAGCTACTATAAATAGCAGCATGAGGTATAGAATATTCAGCAAGTGTGGAAATCTCACCAAAGTAATAGCAACACCACAGTAGACTAAAAATCTGGAAGCCAAAATGGACGGCTGACTCAGTATTCATGAAATGTAAAGGAAACAATTATGTTCTCTAGATTTACCTCCCAGCAAAATCTAAGTGAAATCACTCTTTCTAAGAACAAATTCTAAGGCCCATGTTGCGTTTAAATCTTTTGTAGAGATGTAGCCTCTAAGAATAATAAAAAAATAAAGAGAAAAAAGGGGAAAAAAAGAAAGAAATCAAAACAAAAGATTACCTCTTGTGTTATATTTTTATGGTTTCTAAAGTTTAGATTTTGAATATTTCTGATATTTATTTTTATGTACAATAGAAAAATGTGTGTTTCTTTAAATTCCTCCAAGTGATTCTTATTACTATCCAAATATAGCACCACTGCCATAAATTGCAATGGACCCCAAATGCCTGGGTTTGAATCCTTTTTACTGCCATTTTTAACTATAAATTTGAGATAACATGTCCATCTCACAGGATTATGGGAAGATTAAAAGAGATGACAAATATACAGAACCTGGCATGGTATCTTCCACAGAGAAAATGCTTCGTAAACATCACCTGTTTTTGTTATTTTAACATAGCTCAAACACCTTCTTTTTGTATTCAACTCAAAGTGTCTTTCAACTCCCCACATTTCCTTCAAAACTAAGGACTGTTTCTTGATGTAGATTTTCATGGGACAATCCCCTTTATGGAGCCAAGGGCTTCTTAAGGAAATGCCCTTTTAAAACGATAGATCCTTTTATTTCCTTGGTCACCAGACTATTTCTAAAGTAGTTGAAACCTGAGGGCCTTAAGAGAAAAGTGCTGGCTGATGCTAGTTGATTACAGAACAGTAATTTGAATATTGCTGGCAACACTTGGCTTAATCAAAGAACGAGTATGGCACCTAATTAGACATTTTAAAAAGACTTATGGGTAAGTTCTGTCTGGCAGCCCAGCCCTAAACGTCCAGTGGACCCTGGTGTGTCTGGGACTCCTCCATTCAGATGCTGAGACAGTGTCTCTAATGGACAAAGGGAAGGCCTAGTGGCCCTTCCCTGTGAGAGACTGGGGGATGCAATTGGAGGCCAAGTGCTGCTGAGTCATTTATTCAAGATCTCAGTTAGCACGAGGTGGAGCCAACCTAAAACTCTGCTCTCTTAATCTTAAACCCCCATGATAAAACTATTGTTGCGGGAAACTCAGACAGAGAGACAGGACACCAAGGCTTGGGAAGCAAAGTTTATTGATGCTGGCACCGGCTCAGCGGATTACATCCAGAGGCTGAGCGCCGACCCGGGAGGGATTCGGGGCTGTATACCCTGAGGTTTCCAGGTTGGCAGCTAAGATTTATTATTGGGACATGTGGCCATTGTGCCAGTTTCTGACGCTCCCGGGTGAGGTAGGAATTCGGAAATATTAAACGCGGAAGTCTTAATGGCCATGCAGTCTAGGAATGTCTTTGTCTGAAGCTCCCTGCTACAGCGCTGAATCCTTATTGACCACATGGTCTGGGAAAGCCTTTGTCTAGGGCCACTGCCACACTATCTTTCCTGCTACCATGCTGTTCTAACAGGAAAAAGAGATACCTTCCTTTTTAAAAAAAATTTCAGGTGAGATCTGTTTCCTTAAATAAGCTTTTTTTCCGCTCTCCCCAACCCTCACTTCTTAAAATAACAAAGCATAAACACCTACATTAATTGTAATAAATGACTTTTAATCAGTTATAATAAAAATGTAGAAGAGAGTGAAGGTTGGGGGAGTGCATTTCTAAATTAGCTAGCAGCAATTAATGAACAAATTATTATTCTACCAAATATTTTGGAAGTACAGTTGTTAGGGGCTGAATTGTGTGCTCTCAAATTCATAGGTTGAGGTCCTAACCCTTCTCAGAACATAATCGTATCTGGATATAAGTTCTTTAAAATGAAGACTTTAGGGTGGGCCCTAATCTAATATGACCAGTATCCTTTTAAGAAGAAATTTAAACAAAAAGAGACACCAGACACATGCGCGTGCAGAGGGACAACTGTGTAAAAACACAAGCAGAAGATGGCCACCTGCAGGCCAAGGAGGATGGCCTCAGGAGAAACCATCCCATCCACCACCTTGATCTCAGAGCTCCAGCCTCAGGAACTATGAGAAAATAAACCTCTGTTACTTAAGCCGCCCAGTCTATTTTTGTTATAGCTGCCCAGGCAAACTAATATACCAGTGTTTTTGTCAAAGAAGCAGGGAATCAGAACATGTGATTCATGGTGCATTTCACTGTAACTCACGACTTCTATACAGGCCACTTATAATTCACAAGGTTTTTTTTTAAGTAAGGGATTAAAATGAGTCTCTACAGTGTACAAGGATAATCTTAGGCCTGCAGAAAATAACTATTTTCACTTGACAACACCCCAACTTTCATAACCAGGAATTTTAAAATTCCCTAAACATAGACAGGCAGATACTTCCCTTCTTTCTCTCCCTGTCCCTCTCTTTCTCTTTCTCTCTCTCTTCCCCTCCCCCTGCTTCTTCTCCTCCTCCTCTTCTTAACATTTCATTCACCCTCCTTATTGTGATTGGTCTGTCTTCTCCACAGGTGGATAGATGTGCTGATTAGCTAAGAATACATTTGGCTACAGAGAAATGAGTTAACTAGACACATGGCATGGGGTTCTAACCGGAAAACTTCTCCTTAAGTTTACATTATTTATTGGATGAACAGGACAAGCAGCAAGAAATCAACTAATTTCTGCTACTTGTGGTTTCCCCACTCCCATTACCTCATCACAACAATGTCTCCTCTTTTGCCATCCGTCAATGAACTGGGAGCAAAATCAAACACTGACCTGAGCTGGAACGCTCTCCCGATCACAGCCACGCTCCCCCAGGGGCTGTGGGATAGCTGGCTTAATGCCAGAAGTCAGTTTTCCCTCATGGCTGCTCACTAATAACCTTTCCTCGCTTCTTTGGATCTTAATGACCTCAACCCTTCATAAGAGGTTTGCCTCTTTCTTTTTCCCCTTCTCGACATGAACACAAAATGGCAGATATCCCAAAGAAATAAATATAACTTAGACGTAAAATAAAATCTACCTACTAGTGTGTGCATGCATGTGTGTGTCTCATTGGCATGCACCAGATTGGACTAAATGGCAGGAATTTCCCAAAGGAAGATAACCTCCAGATACTGCTACAAAAGCTTTATTCCCCCACACTCTGCAAATTATTTAATTTAAACACTGCTTGACATAACTCTCTGAGGAGAAGGGTGTTTTTTCCAGTTTTAATTTGTTGGTGTGTATATTCATGTATGCCTATAGAACCAGCCTCACACATGCATCCAGTACTGCAGAGGACCTAAGCACAAGCTTCTGATTGCAGAACCAGGGTCTGCAAATTGCTGTCTAAAACTAGAAAAATAATGAAATGCACATGTGATTTCTTCTTTTTTTGGTGAGGAAAAATAGACAGAGATTCAATTATTCACTTCCTAGTGTCCCCAACGCCAGTCACTTTCCATTTCCTTGGGAGACATAAGTAAATATTTTTAAAAAGTGTGTGTGTGTGTGTGTGTGTGTGTGTGTGTGTGTACATGCACCATGGCTAATTTCTCCCAGTAGAAAATGTTCCCATTGGTGGATGCCTTTTACTAAAGGAGGAGAAGCAAAGCAAAGATTAAAGAATCAGTTTCATCAGCATTGGGCAGTGCTGTATCATGGGCCAGGGACATAACTGATAGCATCCTTTATAATCCTGCTTCTTCCACTAGCTTAACTTCGACGGCCATTCTACTACATATTAATCAGGAAGAGATACCTGGTGAAACAAACCCGAGTGTCCTGTCTATTTTGCCAAATTTCATCATGAAAAATCTTGCCTTTTTAAAGAGTGTATAGTCCCATTAAAAGATTCAAATGAATTTCTCCCCTAGACAGAATTTCATTACATAAGATTCCACAGAAGTGCTAAGCCTGCCACAAAGGCAGCTTGGCATACACAGGGCCCACGCTGGAGATAGTCTTGTTATCTTGGCAAAATCAATTTAAAAGCAAATAAGCATTAGACAATAATTTCAATATTAACTTACTCTTCTTGCTTTTTCCTCAGAGCACGCTAGAAGTATGTGAGCGCCCTTTCACCTCTCACCTGGGCGTCCTCTGGTTGTCTCCCTATGGGGTGCCCTCGCACAGGTAAAGGCCCTCCTTCCACTTCCCAGCTTAGTTATTTATTGACATAAGCTTGCATTCTGGAGCATTATCAGCTTAATGCATAATTCAGAATATCGTGCATGTGGCCTGCACTTTTGCCTTATCCCCTGCATTCTGAAGGTAAGATAAGAAGTGTCTCCAAAGTGGTCACACATAAGGATTCCTGAACATTAACATTGCAGCCCTCGTCCAGCCCTCCCCCACCCCTCCAACAGCTGTGCATCTTACAGCTCACACGCAACCCACAAAGGTGCTGTACTGAGAGAAAGCGATCCCAGGCATGGTCCAAAAGTTTACACGGAGCAGGGACCCAGACCCTTTGGGAAGAATAGGTCTCTAAAAGTGGAAAAATCACAGTATTACCTTTAAGAGTCACTTTCTAGATGAGCAGCCAGATGTTTTCAACCAAGCAATAGTTTCAAATCTCTGCAAATCAAAATAAAAGAAAAACCAATTAGAATTTTTTTTTTCCTCCAGTAGGTCTGGGGAATCTGTGTGTGTGTGAAGTCGAAGGGGAGAAAGGAAGGAGGGTGATTTGGAAGAGAGGGGCAGATGGGAAGGCTTCTTAACATGTTGGAGGGAAGAAGGAAAGAAAAAGCCAAAAGGAAAAAGGGGTGAGGAGGGTGAAAGGGAGCGAGAGAGAGGGTGAAGGGTTAGGGTGCACATTGACTGGAGGACAGGATGGGGAGAGAAAGATAGATAGGATTTGGGGAAGAGAGGGCTTCGAAAACAACTGTATTAGAAGGTTAATTCAGTCAAAATCAATTCAGTAAAAGTGGCTCAAGTGGTGGGTTTTTTTTCCATACGGAATTGACAGCCTTCTGATGGAATTGATTAAATTAACTAGTTATTTTTTTAATGATGTGTGAAAAGAGAGAAAATGAGTGGATAAGCGCACCTGCAAATACACAGATCCAGGTAGCCTGTATGCTCTGATTTAAACACACTAACAATTTGACAAGCATTACAAAAATACACACATACCATATGTATGCACATGTATGTGTGTGCATGGCTATGCTGAATCCCGTTGAAAAGTGCCACTGCTATCCTCCATAGTATTCACAAGCATACTATGTACATATACGTATACTATATAATATGAGGTTTGTTCTTTCTAGGGTCCAAAAATTAACTGTCTTTTTGGAAAGCAGTGTATCCTTGGTAGAGGAACTGTGCTGTATAAACGCACCAGCATCATTTGTCGGCACCATTTTTAAAAGCCAGGCTTACCTCCCTGAATGCACTTCTGTCAGTCAGGACATGAAACTAAAAACCACAAAGTCACCAATATCATTTGGACTTATTACTAAATATGGAATTCTAGTAGATGTTTTTTACATGCATTTTGAGTCCACCAAGCAATAATTCCTCCTCTTTTTTTATAAACATAAAGACATGAATTATTAAAAAATTAAAGACATTTAGAATAATGGTCCTCTATAAGCAAAGTATTTATTTCAACTTTCATCATTCATAGTTTATTGCATTGATTTTTTTCCCATCAGTTTACTTAGTATTAGGCTTCCACTGAACTCATCAATAAGAAATGAATTTTGTAACTTTCAAATCCACTATATTATTTTTCCTTTTATTTGTAGTGAATTTTTCTTCTCTCCATGGTATTACTGCAATAAGTCAGTCATTATTTCTTTATGTTTTCCCTTCTTTCTTTAGTATTTCATTTCCCTTTACAGCACATCTTGTGATCACAAAGAAAACAGACACTTATTTCTTTTAACAGTTGAAATTGCTGCAAGTGATTTAGCTGTCATTTAATTTGATTCCTCTCTTCTGTCTGTGGAGAAATATGTTTAATGTACTGGAAATTATGTTAATAAGAAAAAGCATTATCTCATTTAATGAAATAAATATACAAATATTTCAAAATAAAATAAAGAGGCAATCTTCACTGAGAAAAATGTCTCTTATGGTTTGCATAAAATAAACAAATGAGAAAAAAAACATGAATACATTGAAACACTGACAAAAATTATGCCTACATTCAAAAGGGGAGGGGAAGCTTGGTAAATGAATTACCCACAATTTAATCAAATATCTTTTTGAAAAATATGAGGCCCATGTTAAGGATCAAATTGCTAACCTTACATTTCCAATTACTTCAAGAAAAATCAGTTTATTTTTTTCTAGAATGGACACTGGGTTTTTTTTTTAAGTTTTCTTTGTATTTTTTCTCTTCTATTTCAATTGGTCTTTCAATGATTGCTATAGCTTGAATTTATAATAATTATCAGCAATCTCACTGAAACTATGACACAACCCATAAAAGAAAGGTTAGAATTCCTTTGATTTTGCTAATCAAAACAGAGTCAATGAACTTGTTCCAAAGCTTTTATATATTAAAATTTATTTAATGTACAAAAAGGTTAAATAAATATTGTTAGTGATTTGAGCAAAACTTGAGGTAATTATGTAATAAAAGCATGACCACAGTAACAGAAACACATAATTAGCAATTTAATTACTGGCATGAAGACAAGCTAAAGATGTCAATAAAAAAATCTTTAGTGACAAGCTGATTTTATTCTCTTTACTGCAATTTGTGAGAAATATTCACCACCTGATGAGTAAAACCATTTTTATAAAAAATACCTACCCTTCCACAAACTGAAATACCTAATTTAAAATATTTTTTATTTCATAGCTTTGCATAGTGAATCATTATATTTCCTTCCATTTAGATTAGCACTTTCCCTTCAATGAAAATACAATATTTATAGTCAGCAAGTAAAGAACATTACATTTTTTTAAATGAGTGAAAGTAGCAGGTGTTCTTTGTTTCAATTTCATTTTTTTCCAGCTTCAATAATGTTTGACAGAAATGCTTCCCTGTATGTGACATTCCAAATATCCTATCTTTTCTCATATCCCAAATTTCAGCTGAGAAACACACATAAACCATGGATTGTTTTAAAAGGAGATACATGTCTACTTTAGTAGAAATAGTCAGGCTGTTTGGGCCTTCCTCTGGGTCTCTCACAATTCCTTTTTCTCCCCCATCTCTGTATTTGAGTTATAGGTGGAAGGTAAAGAGAAATGAGTAAATTCAGTTTATTGTGCTATGGTCCACTTGTATTTTTTCATCACAATCCCAAGTTTCAGATTTTTAAACAGTCCTGAACTACTTATCTTAAAGTGTTTGATGAATGCTTACTACCTTCTATGTCACTGGTATTTAACCAGTAGAAGAAAACAGTTATCTCAAGATAGAACCATATTGAAAGAAGTTTTCCATCTTGTGATAAAAAGTGAATCATCTTGGCTGGTGTTCAACAGCCACTTGTACAAGCCCAGCGCATGGAGTGAAATCGTGAAAGCCAGACTTACTAAGAAGTTTGGTCTATAAATAAACTTGGAGCATGATGGAATACATTTAAAAAATAAACTCCAGCCACTATGAACATAATAAATAATAGCTCCTAATAACATCACCTTTTATAATTAATCTACTGATTCTAATCATTTTGACATATAGTTCCAATCAGATAACCTAAGCTAAATATCCAAGTCTTGAGAGAAGGGTGTATAATACAAACTCAAGGTTTCTAAGGAAATTGAAAATGTTTTTAGAAGCATATTTTACTTGGCTATAACTTGATAAAAGTGAAGAAAGCAAATAATTGGGAGATGACTTTTTGGAACCCCATGGCTAATATATTGGTAACTAGAGTCATGCATTTCTTACGTATATTTGGATTAGAGTTTGCTGGCTTCCATATAAAGCTCCCTTTCCCAGGAGCTTTTGATCACCATTCATTATATATCACCATCAGCTTCTAACATTCTGTTTTAGCTATAAACCTACACTTACTTGGATTTTTAAACTCTAATCATTTAGGTTTGAAATTCTCTTTCATTCTGTATTTTTATGGTGCAGATACAAGTTGTTATTAACAAGCATGTTAATTTACAAACCTCCATAAGAAAGCCCTTGCATTACAATTATGGAGGATGGTTAGGCAATGGTACCTGCCTTTAGGAAGCTCATAGTCTAAATGAGAAGATGGTGTGTCTTATAACCTATAAAAGTAACGGTTGCCTTATAACTCAAGTAGAGCTATGATAACTGCCAAACAGATGACACAATAAACACAGAAACGTTCATAGAATAAAGGGAGCACAGTGTCTTTGTGGGTAGACCCCTTTATAAATGGATATTATGGGAGACTTTTATAAAGCTTTCAAATGCAACATCTCGTTTGAATCTAACAACTAAACAGCCTCTTATATAGCTAAAGAAACAAAGAGGTTAAATCCTTGACCCAAACAAAAATGTATTAGAATGGGGACACAATGAGAATCTTGTTGACTCTGCGTTCTAGGCATGAAGAAGAAAACATTTGAGATGAAGGAATGATCAAGGAAGTATGTCAGGTAGAGGGGAAGGAAAGGAATTCATAAAACATGTGCAGAAGAAAGGTAGGTTGCTTACCTAGTGAGAGCAGCAAGAGCAGTGAGAGAAAGATCGGAAATTAAAAAAAAAAAAAGGACCAATGGAAAACTAGGACTGTGTTCTCTAGACAGTGAGGAGTATTTGATGGTTTCTGAACAAAATGATAGCATGATGAATGCAGACCAAAGCATGAGTTAAAAAGTGAGAGACGAAAGGCAAAACATGGATGCTGTTGGTGCTCCACCCAAACTCCTTTGTTGGGGTGGGGGTGGGGAGATCATCCCCCAGCTGCTGGGAGTGTTGGGTGCTAAAGGACCTCAGCAGCACCCTTCTCTGCACAACCATCCTCAGCCAAGCAGGATCCACTTTACTGCAGAGGTTAAAACTCCCTCCCTTATTAACCCATACAAGGGCTTCCTGACATGGAAAGTACAAAAGCCAGCTCTTTGAACTTGTGGGATATCACCTTCATGGGTAAGCTGCAGCTAGACGCTAGCTGAGGCCATGTGCCCTGCCCCGCTGTCTAACTCCCTTTCTCCTCCTCAGCGCATCCTTGTCTCAGGCTCTGCAGCTAGGGAAGCTGACTGGAGAGGAGGCAGTTACAGCCTCCTCTGTCTTCCTCTCCCTTGAAGGAAGAAAGACTCATGATGTTAACAGGTAAGAAAGACAGCAGCTTTACCCAGACTCACACAGAAAATAATCAGGGCAAAGGAAAAGCAACCAGGGTATACATGGAGGCCACCTAGTTGTGATTTCGCTTTTCTGGTCTTCTTGGCTTTAATTGTTCAAAGAATGAAATTTGTATGGCATATATGGAGGGAAGTTTATAATTCAACCACTGTAGTCTGCACTAGAGATGTAATGAAAAAGAAAAGAATGGAATAGTCTCCTGTAATTGTAACTCTGACTTTCCCCAACCAAACCCCATCTGAACTTCCAGCTTCACTGCTTTGTAAATCATTAAATGGCATCTCTCTCATCCAGTGGGAAATATCCCTGCTCCCTGGGCAAGGG